TTTAAATTCGTTAAGGATTTTAGAAACAAGCCTACCCTTAAACGTGGATAGTGGTGTTGACTTGCTGAAACTTGGTAGACTGTTTGATCTGAAGTACACAGACGATATTGTACTGCCAGGTGATATCTCAGGCAAGTTGCACGCCTTCCAGGATAGTTCGAATGCCAGTGTTCGGCATACATTTTGCATTGGGCTGTTGAAGCTTCCTCACTCTAACTGGGCAAGTAATGGAGAAGTAGATGAACACATTTTGTTATTTGGGCGGCTATATCTCGCCCGGCGGACGGCCGATGAGTGAACTGTCGGCACAACCCATTTTCTTACTTGAGTCACTTGTCACGCCATCGAGACATCCGGCTGTCTGTGCAAGGTCGACCGTATACTATAACAGTTCGACTAATTCTTTTCTACGGGGCCTAGACTTGACCATTACGAAAACAAGATAAACATAGAATGTTGGTGTTCGAACACCACCGTATACACCGGACTGCACGAGTTTGGTGCGGCAACCGGACAAGCCCACTAGATTATTTTAGTTTAGGTATTTGTGTTGCACATCAAGTTCGCAACACCACGCGACACTTACAGTCGCAGATAGTGGATGAAAAAAAAACGACAGTGTAGTAGTCCAACTAGAACGTGGTATGAGGGTATAAAAACCCTGTCCAGGAGACTTGATCACATAGACTTCCTGGATGGGAGCCTGTTGCTTGTTGCAATCGGTGAATAGAGACATCGAGTGTTTTCGACAGTGGTGCTCGTGCATCTGCTGATTGTGTTTGTAACCACGAATTCTCCACTTTCATCCTAACTCTGATTCGAACATTCCCATCCTCCCTTTACTCTTTCATCCGAGCGGGTCACCAAAACCGCCACACAAAAGAGCATAGTTATTGGTGGTAAAAATTGAGCTGCACTAGTTAGCACACACACACACACACACATATATATATATATATATATATAATNTAATTCCTACTTTTTATCGGACAAACCTATCTGATCATCTGTCAGTTCATTCTTGTACTTGTGCTCAGGAATGTGTATTTTTTCTGACACAACACCGGGTAAATTCGTTCGGATAGGTCTTCCATAACCAGTCCATGTATGCATCCTCACAACGATTGGTTTAAATGATACTATGCGCACCGAGTGTGTATTAAGAGTCTGTACAGATTGTTTAAATTTAAATTTATTTATTTAGTAGTATATGAAAGGCAGCATATATATATATATATATTTAATAATAAGTAGTATGTGAATAACTGGATAAAATTTCCCTGGGAGCACACGACCGGTTTTGCGGTTCTTCCCGCTCGTCAGGCATGCGTATCCGGGTAATCTTTTGTCAGTTCATTCATATACTTGTACCCAGGAAGTGTATTTTCGTCACAATCACCTTATTTGAGACCCCGTGTGGCTTTTGTATAGGCAGCTACAAAATCCGTGAAACCGATCGTGTTTCCATGGAAATTTTGTCCAGTCATTACCATACTACTTATTATGAAATATTCTGTAAAGACGATCAAGTCACGTTTGTTGTGGTTAGTGGCATCTAACCCACTTACAAAGACATTGAACCACAGCATTGATTGTTCTATGGACTGGCTCGGAACTAACTGTCTATCCAAAAGTCACGCGGTGTTGCAAACAAGGTTATTATGGTATATATATAACGAGAGTGCGTGAGAAAGAGTCACGACTGGAATGTTTTTTTGACATTGTCTAATTTCCGAGTTCAATACCGCTGCGATTGCACTAACATGCTCCGGTATTTGTTGCTTTGTTCACTTCTGTTCGGTTGACTCGATGAGGAAAAAGTTAATTAGGGTAACAGTTTCTATTACAAAATAACGGAAGCAAGTAAACTGCATCTGCATTAAAAGTGAATAAATGCACCCGGGGCTATTGTTCGCCACACCACTATATCGCTCAATGTTTCAACTGGTTGGTTATGTAGCTTGTCAGTTCCCCCAACCCGAAAAGTCGAATTCTACCGATGTGAGATCGCATGTCATGTTCATGAGTTGCTAGCTCTCATCTGCTGTTCTCCTTTTTTTTGATCACACGTGTTTTCGGGTTAGGGAAGCAGATGTAAAATTACATCAGTACACCGGAACGCGTTTAGATTCATCATCGATTCTCTTCAAAACTGTGTTAATGCTAATGCTGCTTTACTGCTTTAAGTTTTACTGAACGGACCAGTTGCTAACCCTCGTTTCCACCCTGACATCATTTTCTTCGATCCAGGCTTTAGCACCCTGCGCACGTTATCATCCATCTGACGGATCATACTCCTGGGATGACCCAGACACATTGATGGGTCTATCTGCAGACGCGGATTCGGGGTTGCCAAAACCATCCTATTCATCCTCACCACCCAATCAACCATCGTCCCCAGCCCAAACGGACCGTTCCAGTATGGCTAGTGTGTTTCAAGTGCAACGAACGGCCATCCTGCTGAATGAATGGGCCAGCCGCTTTCCTCTTCCGGCTTCAGTGATTGCCGCTCCGGGATCCGGGACTACACCTGGTCAAACTCCATCCGGTGCCACACCGCTTAATCCAACCTCGACTTCGGCGCCGAGTACTAACCCCTCAGCTACTAATAATACGGTGAGTAGTACGTCAAGGGAATTTTTCAGCTGTTCACGAATGTGTGTGTGTGTGTGTGTGTGTTGGATATAGTGTTTTGTTACTTACACAGGAGTTTCACGATTACCTATAAATTACAGTGGAAGAAAGTCAAGGGTGGCCAAGCTAAGACCTAGCACGAGAATATGAAAACCCCAACCAGGAGACTAGGTCACATAGGCCCCGTCACGCTCCCTGGCTGGGGACCTCAGAATGATCGTAACCGATGGTTAGCTACACTGAGTGATATGGTTGGGTGTCGCAAACAGTGGCGTTCGTGCATCTTCTCAATTTCTTTGCAATCTTAGACCACCGAACTTATCCATTTTCTGTTCGACTCTACCTTCAACCATCCTGCCTTTCTCCTCATGTTCATCCAAATGGGCAGCCAAAGAACAGCAACCAAAACCGGCGCACGAGAGTACATGGTTAACGGTTGTTCCAACTGAAACTGAATAGATTACAGTGCGAAAGACCTTTCTTGATGCACTGTTAAACCGGATGAAAATGGGCACTATAGGTGTGAATGGGGCTAAGTCCGAAATGATCTCATCTATTCGACACAGTTTTCAACTTTTCATTCGTCCTTACACTTTTTTCCAACTAAATGTGCAGCCAAAAAGCATCAATAACTCATAAGTTCTCGGATCCATTCATACACATCGTTACGGCTGGTTTGAAATCGGGTTTTGCCCAGTCCACTTAATGAAAAAAAAACGAATTGGGGAACCCGTTAATCTGATTTCATCGCGCAATATGGGCTTCTTTCGCTTAATCCCGATCTGTGGCGTGACAGTTTTCTTAACATTCGTTCGCCTATCTAGTCCGACGAACGCAGTGGAGTACGAGGAGGAGGAGGAGGAGGAAGCGGGAGCAAATAGGGCGGGGGGGGGGGAGGAGTAGAACTTTATGAGCAGCATCAAGATACGAGGTCCTAGGCCATTGACAGTTTCTAGCTGAACAGGGATTCGTGTATCCCTGATGAGTACGAATCCCGTTGAGTCGTGAAAGCGACTTTATCTACCCAACACGTGCATCAACTCGCTGGGAATTGAGCTCCCGGTCATCCTAAACCTGGTTTTGCCCGCCTATCGAGCGGTTTACCGGGGTGTGGCCGCTGTTGCATACAAACAGCTTCTTGGAGCCACCGGTGAGAGCCGAGCACGTTTTGGAGACCAAAGAACGGAGGATGCCCCAAAGGGGGTGGGGGTGGGTGGGATGACAATTGTCTAATGATTAACCAATAGCCGAGCAAGATATGGCATTACACTGTTTCTATATATGTGTTACTGCGTGCAGGAAGGAGTTGATATTTGGTGTGATTTCGGGTATTCGTAACAATTTCCCGGTCCAGACAGCGCGTTATTCTGTCAATACGGGTACCGCAGACGTCGAAATGCTTGAGAATTAACAAATAGACTCTACCAAAACAACTTTATCAACCCGACTGTAGCAGAACAAAAGTTTGGAGTATCTAGAAAAAAAGTGAAATCTTGTTCCTTCAGACCGGGGATGAATATTGGGGAACAGTATGACCAATAATAAGCACTCGTCAAGAGAACCAAAAGCGTTGACATAATCAAGAAAAGTTACACGAGCAGTACCTGCACCTGTATCGAAGAGGGATGCTATAGAGTGTGAGTAAACAATATGGGCAACAGCGTCAAGTGTGAACAGATGGGATTTATAGAAAAATGTAAACGATCATGTGAGTTACATAGGGCTATCATGCGGTACAGCAAAACATTTTCAAAACCCTTCAACAACACAGATGCGCGGGTAGTTGGACGGTACTTTGACGATCCTTTCTTTGAGATTGGTCTAACCCGGTCTGATCTCCAACAATCGGGGATCGTTCCGGATGACAAACAAGTACTGAACAATTCAGCAATAGGTATTATAACCTGGTCGACTCAAGCTTTCAACAAATGAGGTGCTAATCGATTGGGACCATGAGCTTTGTTGGCCTTGAGTCTCCTCCAGACTTGGAGAACCTCGTCCGGAGAAACAGGGTTTATTGCCTCATGGGTTGGAAAAGGAAGTGTTAGGGAAAGTGAGGAAGGTACAGCAGCAAATTGACGGTTAAGTATCTCAACGTTGGTATAAGAACTGATGCATAAGCCACAGGGTTTCCGCAGAGTAGTCCACATCTCCCGACAGATTTTATTACCCAAAACAGTTGCCAAGTACATTCCGTTCAGGCGTCCCACTTCATCTCTAATCAGCACAGAGAGCTCTTTGACACTGTCACACCTGCCGGTCACGGAAACCGTCTCTTTTGCACAACGTATTCCCTTAAGGAAGGGTGAGGAAAATCTATCAGTTCGAATGTACATAGTTTCGACAGGGCAACATTAGTCGTAGCAAAAAGATTATCAGTAAGATATTCGCTATTTAAAGCGAGCTGATTATTGAAAACACAGAAAAGCCGGTGAAAGAAACCAAGTCCCAGTGCCTGGAGACGTTCTCGGGGGAACACTTTGCTTTCCGTATAGTATGAGAAGCGGGTGAGGTAGGAAGGTAAGGGTTAGTTTAACCG